GCATTATTTGGATGCTTGGCTTGCTCTGTTTTGTCTTACTACAGGCTGTGTGCTGTGAGGTACTTTCTGATTTGGGACCTGTGGTTGGGAGCTTTGATCGTTGCTCTGTTTCTGGCTCGAAAACTAGACAGGCCCTGTTGTTTCTGGGTGTATTTCCTGCTTTTGACTTTTGTTGGAGCTTTGGCTTGGGTTTGGTTTCTGGGCTTTGGAATACAGGGCTGTGTGTCTGTGGGATGTACTTTCAGCATTTGACTTGTTAGTTTATTGGCTTGCTTTGTTTCCAGTTGTTGAAGTAGCAGGTTTGGTGCTTTGGGTCTTTCTGATTTTGACTTGGACAGAAGCTTTGTGTTGACTGGTTTCTGGTTTTGAACTGAGTGGTTGGTAGTGTAGAACGTTTCGTAAACTCTCTGGTTTAGACTTGTCGATGCTGTTGGCTTGCTCTGTTTCTGCCTTAAAGTAGCAGACAGTGATTTCTGTTGGTAGTCTCTGTTGATGGACTTATTCCGAAGCTTTGAGGCTTTACGCTGGCTTTGTAGTAGAAGACTGTGATGCTCTGTCTATACTGTCTGATTTGACTTTGTTGGAGCTTGGGGGTTGTTCTGTTTCTGGTTTTTGAACTAGCCGTCTGTGATGTCTGTGAGGTATTCTCTGATTGTGATTTAGTTGGAGATTTGGGCTGCTCTGGTTTCTGGCTTTGAACTAGTAGGTAGTGATTCTGTGGGGTAGCCATCTGGGTTAGAACTTGTTAAGGAGCCTTTGGCTTGCTTTGGGCTTACTGGTTTTGTACTAGCAGGTAATATGTCCTGTATGGTAGCTCTCCGTTGTGCATTAGTTGAGCTTGGCCTGCTCTGTTTCTGCTTATAGCAAGGGTGTGGTGGCTGTGAGGTACTTTCTGGATTTAGACTTGGTTGGAGCTTTGGGTTGCTCTGTTTTCTGGCTTCGATCTAGACATCTGTTGTGTCTGTGATGTACTCTTGAAATTTAGACTTGGTTGGGTTCATTGGCTTGCTTGGTTTCCAGTTTTGGAAGTAGCATGCTGTGGTGTTGTGGAGGTAGCTCCTGATCTTAATTTTGTTGGAGGCTTTGGTTGCTCTGTTTCTCGGCTTCGAAGCTAGCACAGCTGTGTGTCTGTGTGTATTTTCAGATTTGGACTTGTTGGAAGCTTTGCTTGGCTTGTTTTCTGCGCTTGAAACTACAGGCTGTGGTGTCTGTGATGTACTTTAGATTTGGACTTGGTTGGTTCATTGGCTTGCTCTGTTTCCCAGTTTTGAAGTAGCAGGCTGTGGTGGCTTGTGGGGTACTTTTCTGATTTTGATCTTGAACAGGAAGCTTTGTGTTCACTTATTTCTGGTTTTGAAAGCTGGACGCTGGTGGTAGAGAACGATTTTCGTACTCTCTTGGTTTGGAACTTGGCGATGCTTTGGCTTGCTCTGTTTCTGCCTTTAAAGTAGGCAGACAGAGATTTGTTGGGTAGTCTCCTGGTTGGACTTATACGCAAGCTTTAGGAGGCCTTTAAGCGTCTGGCTTGTAGTAGAAGACCAGTGCTGCCTGTCTTACTGTCCCTGATTTGTGACCTTTGTTGGCGCTTGGGTGTTTCTGCTGTTTCTCGTTTTGAACTAGCCGTGCTTGTGATGTGCTGTGAGGTACTTTCCTAATTGTGATTTAGTGGAGCCTTGCTGCCTCTGTTCTGGCTTTGATCTAGTATGCAGTGATTTCTGTGGGGTATGCCTCTGGTTTAGACTTGTTAGGAAAGCTTTGGCCTGTTTGTTTCTGCCTTTGAACTAGCAGGGCCAGGCATTTCTGTGGGTAGATCTCTGGGTATGGACTTGTTAGGAGCTTGGATGTTTTGCCTTCTGGTTTTGGTGAGCGGGAGAGGTGAGAGGTGGATGTCTCGATGGTAATCGCTGATTGTGCATTTAGTTGGATGCTTGGCTTGCTCTGTTTCTGGCTTACTAGGCAGGCTGGTGGTGGCTGTGAGGTACTTTCTGATTTGGACTTGGTTAGAGCTTTGGGTTGCTCTGTTTCTGGCTTCGATCTAGACATCTGTTGTGTCTGTGATGTACTTTCAAATTTGGCCTTGGTTGGTTCATTTGCTTGCTTTGTTCCCAGTTTTGAAGTAGTAGGCTGTGGTGTTTGTGGGGTACTCTCTGATCTTGATTTGGTTGGAGCTTTGGTTTGCTCTGTTTGTGGCTTCGAACTAGACAGCTGTTGTGTCTGTTGTGTATTTTCTGATTTGGACTTGGTTGGAGCTTTGGCTGGCTTTGTTTCTGGCTTTGAACTACCAGGCTGTGGTGTCTGTGATGTACTTTCAGATTTGGACTTGGTTGGTTCATTGGCTTGCTTTATTCCTAGTTTTGAAGTACCAGGCTGTGGTGGCTGTGGGGTACTTTCTGATTTTGACTTGACAGGAGCTTTGTGTTGAATTATTTCTGGTTTTGAACTGGAGTGGTTTGGTAGTGACGAACGTTTCGTACTCTCTGGTTTGGAGTTGGTCGATGCTTTGGCTTGCTCTGTTTCTGTCTTTAAAGTAGCAGACAGTGATGTCTGTTGGGTAGTCTCTGGTTTGGACTTATTCCAAGCTTTAGGAGGCTTTACGTCTGGCTTTGTAGTAGAAGACAGTGCTGCCTGTCTAGTACTGTCTGATTTTGACTTTGTTGGAGCTTGGGGTGTTTCTGTTTCTCGTTTTGAACTAGCCGTCTGTGATGTCTGTGAGGTACTTTTTGATTGTGATTTAGTTGGAGCTTTGGCTTGCTCTGTTTCTGGCTTTGATCTAGTATGCAGTGATTTCTGTGGGGTAGCCTCTGGTTTAGACTTGTTAGGAGCTTTGGCCTGTTTTGTTTCTGGCTTTGAACTAGCAGGCAGCAATTTCTGTGGGGTAATCTCTGGTTTAGACTTGTTAGGAGCTTTGGCCTGTTTTGTTTCTGGCTTTGAACTAGCAGGCAGCAATTTCTGTGGGGTAATCTCTGGTATGGACTTGTTTGGAGCTTTGGATTGTTTTGCTTCTGGTTTTGTACTAGCAGGTAATGATGTCTGTATGGTAATCTCTCGTTCGCCCTTATTTAGAGGTTTCGGTTGCTGTATTTCTGGCTTTGTACTAGAAAGCAGTGATGTCTGTCCAGTACTTGATTTGGACTTGGTTG